CACCATAGAATAAAAGTCAGAATTGCATATTTATATCTCTCAATTCTGAGTTTATATTCTGCAATTCTGCCTTTGATATAAACTTAGAATTGCAAGGAAAAAAAGTCAGAATTCTGAGTTCATATCTTGCAATTCTGTTGGGTTTATTTTCACCACAAAAAAAAAGAGAGAGAATTGCATGTTTATATCTCTCACTTCTGATTTCTGAATTGCAAGAATAACAGTCAGAATTGTGAGATACGGTCTCAATCACTTTTCTATAATTTTCTCCCGTGGTGTAAACAAGCTTCTGTAGATGTCAGTACGTCTGCTGGTTGATCAGATATGCAGTTTGTGCGGTCTGAACACAGTCTGACGCTGCGCTCGTCTCATTAGCAGCCCGTAGGCCTGTGTGCAGCTGTCATTGCTCATTAAAGCTCTCGCCGCAAGAAAGACTTCGCTTCGCTGCACAATTGATCCTCCCCTTGTATAATGTAAACCTCTGTGCTACTCAACTCAATGAGCGCCAGACATGATATTTGCTTTCTGCTGCCCTTTAGTTTTCCTCCATAGAGACACACTCAGCACTCCAGCAGTGGCCATGGCTTTTATCAGTTTCCTCAGAAGCGGTCATTTGTTTGGTCTGAGCTGAATGTCTGAGGTAGGCTTCAGATCATATAAACTGTAATGTCAAGTGGTGTAACTCAAAGCTCAAAAACGTAATGATATATGAATTTATAATGATATTTGAAAAAAATAAAAATTATCTTGAAAATGATATTTAAACCTGTTTTGAAAACATTGATTAAGATGTGTACACGCATGTTCAAGGTGTAAGGAAAATAAACTAAAGAGTCAATAAACTGAATTTTTTCTTAATGCTATAAAAGTTTTTGAAACAATACAAAACCAGCATAACCCAACGAGTCAACTAAACCGCAATCTAAATTGTAGGAACACAACAGAAATTCTGTTTTCACACAAGACTATATTGTCGTAATGGATATTACTGTCATAATGTGGTGAAGAGGTATGATATTCATTGACCATTTGCTAGAATCTCATCATATAACCAGTCTTATTCTGGTTAATCAGCGTTTCAGAAAATAATGGCACAGCTTCCAGAACAGCCGCTGAATCAGATCCCTCTAATAAGAGCTCTGCTGGTGTCTTTCCCCTGTGATTGTTGAAGGGCACAGACGGTCTGTGAAGGATTCAAGTGGCTTGTTTTCCGTGCTGGAGCAGGGAGTGGATAGAAGTGACAGTCCTCAGTGTTTGGCAAAGTTACTTTTAAAAGTAATGCATTACAATATTGTGTAATTGCGATGGTTTTTATGGAAAGTAGTGCATAACGTTACTTTTGCGTTAATTTTTAGTTTTTTAATAACACCCAAAAGTTATGTTTTTGGCGAATGTAGAGGCCCTTCCACACCAGACGTGAAATGAATAAGCCTCTGCACTCACTCCTGATTTCTCTCAACACAGAGACAGGACAGATCTCAGTGAATAAATGGGAAAACAAAGTAACTTGCATTATTTATTTTAAAGAGTCTTTCAGATATTTTGTTGCAAATTTAAAAGTAATGCATTACTTTACTAGTTACTTGAAAAGTAATCTGATTACATATCTTGCATATGCTTGTACTGTGTTACAACACCGGCGGTCCTTTAAACATCCTTTTCTGTCCTGGTTTCTGTACTGAAAAAGTCAAACGTGCATCTGCTTTTTCTCTACTGTGAAACCCATAAGTCATTAAACAACGCTATTTTATGGCCTAACAGAGTCGAACAGGATTGGCTGCCCCAGTCGACGGTCAATAAAGTGGTTCGGTCAAGGTCTATATTTTATCAGTTGTGTTTCTAGCACCATGCGCTGCAGGACTGGTTAGCAGCAGGTTAGCGTAGGGTTTATCCGCTCCAGTTGTGTCTGTAGGCGCTCTAACCGAGGCTTTGAACTTTGATGGGATCCTCATGGGTGTCTTTGGAAGCGGTTCAGGATCCAGGGTCTCAGGGCCACCTCGTGTTCTCGTCTGCTTCTCATTGCTGTTTGATCACCTTCGTCAAAGGGCCTCCCTTTCAAGTGCTCTTCAGTTCGTGCCAGAGATCCCGGCGTCTCTGGACATCAAACACCCTTTGCACGAGGGTCCGGGGCAGCTTTACCCGTTCTCCCTCACTCCCCGGGGAGCCTGGGAAGCGGTCGGGTGAGTACACAGTGCTGCTGGGCGGCTGGATGGGTCGGTCTGGAGGCTGAAGTGGATGTTCTGGAGCGTTGAAGAAGGGAGAGACGGTGAGGGGAAGATGGGTTGGAAGAGGGGAATTCCTTTGATGTGGCTTGTGGGTGGCATTATTGCTATTCCTCAGAAAAACAGGGAAACAGTAGCAGCGGAGCTCAAAATACTAGCACATGTTATGATGCTAGCCTAGTCTAATGCTGGAGATGGATCTGGCTCCCAGGGACCCGAGCTTGGCTAAATGGTCAATGATATGATTTGTCCTATATATATATATATATATAAAAAATTCAATTCATGCATACATTGACTGACTTGAAAACACTGCTTCAATCATAAGCATGTGTTAAACTCAGTAATTAAAATTCATTTTTAAATATTTTTAGGGGCCCTTAAAGTCAAAGCCTGGTTTTATAATTAAGAAAAATGAGTTAAAAGAATTCATTACTCAGAAGAAAAAACCTTATGCATGATCTTTTATTATTGGTATTATTTTTATCATTATCATTATTATTTATAATAATTCATAAGCAGTGAAGCTTGGTGAGCACTGAAGATAGCAATGTCCTGAAATGTCTGCTTGTGCTTGTCTAGCTTTTGAATCACCTGCATCTTGCACTCTTTTGCACTATGCAGTTTATATAATAAAACATGCATTTATTTATTTTTTGCTAGACTCTTTTAGTCTGGGTTGAATTCAGTGTGCGGTCCGCAATGTTTTTTTTTTTTCCATTTCATTTCATGTTCATTTGTAGCTTTACATTTTTATTAAAATTGTTAATAATAATAATATTTATATAATATATTATATTATTATATATAATAATAAAATATATTGAAATTCTTTGTTAATAATAATAATAATAATAATAATATATTTTTATATTTTAAATTACCATTATTATTATTATTAAGAGATAAATATTAGATAATTTGATCTTTTTATGATAAGGCGGTGTTAGTTCAGGTTGTAAAAATTCATGAGGTAAAAAAAAAAAAAAGGATATTGTCCAATTAATAATTCATGATTTTTGTAAAAAAAAAAATTCACATCAGTCCGGCCTGTTCTGTCTCCTTTCCTTTTCTTCTTTAAAATATATCCCTCCCAACACAATCCATTACCATTTTCAACCTCAGCAGATTCAAAAGCTCCATCGTCATCCATGTTGGAATAACAGAAGTGTAAATGTTCCTGTCTAATGGACTTTCAAGCGCGTAAAACAGCTTTTAAATGAACCTTTGCACTGCTTTGGTTTTATAGCAGCACGCGTAGCTCTGTTCGGCTGTGGCTAGCTTGAGCAGGCCTTGCTTTTACTCACACTGTGAGCGTATGTTTATCACCGCTTTAAAACTTCGTCACGAATGCCGTGGAAGCCTTCAAAGAGGCGACTGCTTTCATTTAGTGGCTTTACTTCAGAGACAATGGAGGTCAATTCCTCAACCTCAGAACAACAACAGTGGCAGATTTACTGCACATCCAACACATTAAAAACCAGCGGCGGCGTCTCGATAAACTAGCACTTCACCGCCGGGATGAAAGGAAAGACTGCTGTGTCTCACTTCAGCCGCGTCTGCTCATTTAAAACCAGACGCTCTGAGACAGAAAGATCATCCAGAAACCTCCTCAAACTCACTACAGCCAGCGAAGAAGAGCACTTAGCAGTGCACACGTCTGAGTCACGAGCGCTGAGATGCAGAAGAAACAGATCAAATCACGCTGATGAAAGGAACGGGTCTGGATGAGACGCAAATGGAGGATGGCTGAGATGAAAGCGCTTCATTTTGATAATGACGACTTTTTCCGGAGGAGCATAAACAGATGAGAATATGTTCTTCTAAAGTTTTCAAAGCCTTGTGATGATTATCAGCAAACAGTCGCTGAAGCACAGGAGCTTCTCCACCGCTCTCAGAAAGCTTGAAGTCACAGTTCTGTCGTCTCCTCTCAGTCTGCTCACATTCTCACATGCGTTCAGTTCATAGCTGGCTGTGGGGTTTTGCTGCTTGATATCTCTCAGACTCCGCTGTCTGATGCTCAGGGCAGCATTAATGTAGCTTTGCAGTGGTTTGTCACAAAAAAGGCGTTTTCTAGCAACCAAATGTAAGTGTCTTCTGCTCATCAAGACTGCATTTATTTGAGCAAAATTACAGTTTAAAACATCTGTGTTCTATGTGAATCTCTGTTAAAATGTAATGTATTTCTGTGATCAAAGCTGTATTTTCAGCATCATTACTCCAGTCTTCAGTGTCACATTCAAAGCAGCCAAAGTTCCCAGACCTTCTGCTGTCAGTCTGAAGCTCTGTCCATGTGAGACTAGGACGCTTCTTATATAAACCATAAGAAAAACATCAGCAGAAAAACAAAAAAGGTCCTTGTGATTTCTGCCAGAACATTATCCGTTTCCTGCTACATTAAAACAGAAAACAGTGGGTAAAACACCTGTGAAAAATCTTCATATGAAGACGATACATTGTAGTGTGTTTTTACACTTTTCTTGGAGTGTAGCATTGATGTTGATTAAAACTCCCTCAGTGTTTTTGTATTAAATGTAAGCACTAATGAGCGGTGCGCTGACCCTCACATGCACCAGAGCTTCAGGAAGGCCATATATAGAAATCCCATGATGATTAACTGCCAACTGCCCATTTCAAGATGCTTAGTCTCACTATTTATGGCCGAACACAAAGTGCCGGCGAGTGCATTCTCCGTCAGTGGGGCTTACAGTGAAATATGGAGGGAGTAGCCTGGATCAGAAGGACTGAACTCTCTCTCTCTCTCTCTCTGTTTTCTAGATCCGTCCTGCTGCCATCATGCTGCAGAGCTCTTTCCTCAGTGTAGAGGAGCCTGTGAACAGGTAACAGCATTCACACACACACACACAACACTGACACTGAGGAACACAGCTTGTTCTCGAATTAAAGCATTAGAATCTCTGCACTGCTTGAGAATCTCTGAGCTGATTGCAGGACTGACGATCAATAAAACATTGTCATTTAATCCGATACTCTATCAAAACGGTTTAGTTTCAGTGTTTGTTTCCAAAGACTTTTAGTTTGTATTTCCCTGTTTTGCTGAGTTGTACTTCCTGTTCCCTTTATTCTAGTCACTAGTTTGTTTTCATAGTAACTAATTATGTTGTTCACTTGTTTAGTTCTCATTAGTCTGTGTATGTATGAGAACTAAACGAGACACGGGTGAACAACACGATCAGTTAAAGGGGTCATGATGCGATTTCAATTTTTCCTTTCTCTTTGGAGTGTTACAAGCTCTTGGTGCATAAAGAAGATCTGTAAAGTTGCAAAGACTAAAGCCTCAAATCCAAAGAGATATTCTTTATAAAAGTTAAGAGTCAGCCACACCTACCTAAAACGGCTCGTTCTAACACGCCCCCACATATCTACCTCACTATGTGGGAAGATTTGCATAACGCCGCCCAAATGTTCACGCAAAGAAAGAAGGCGTAACTTTTATTCTCGCTGTAGTGTTGTTGCTGCCTCCGTCATGTCGTGAAGACGCTGTGTGTTTCGTTGTGAAAGCAACGCAACTCGTAAAAGACAGTATAAGTCATTATTATCCGTAATTATGTCCCCACTGGATGCAACAAATGCCTCGTTTATAATGGGTTTTAATGTTTTTGTCTCGTAGCTCTGGCCGGACACGGCATCATCACAGTATGGTGAGGGGCGTAACATTTCCGTCACACGCTTGAGGTATTCGGCCAATCACAACGCACTGGATAGCTGGCCAATCACAGCACACCTCGCTTTTCAGACCGATGAGCTTTGTAAAAATCGCCGCGTTTCAGAAAGGCGGGGCATAGAGGAGAAACAATAATGTACCGTATGTGGAAAATAATGTTTTTTTTTAACCTTAAACCGCATAAACATTTCATTACACCAAATACACAAAATAATGTTCTTTTTAGCAACATCATATGACCCCTTTTAACAAGGAAAAAAACAAGTAGAACAAAGGAAACAGGAACTAAGGAAAACAAGGAAATACAAACTAAAAGTCTTTGGAAACGAACACTCAAACGTTACAATTACATGATATACTACTTAACTAATTCATTCAATTAATTTGCGGATATTCACACCCAAATGAAGACAATTCAAAGACAATAAAACTTACAGATGAATAAAGCATTTCATATACATTACAAAATATGTCATTTAGAAGTCAGAAATAATTCCTTATTACAGAAGTTTATTTTTAGTGCATCATTTTAATTTTTATTCTCAATTGCTAATTGTTAACTGTTTGTAAATGAATGGTTATTCTTCATTATTTTTTATTCTTAAATGATTGTGTTACCAGCTCTAGATAATGACATGGAAAAGATCTAAAATGAATAAATTAGTATACTATTATTCATCTGTCCATCGGTTTTCCCAGGTTTGGAATTTATGGCTTTTAGACATATTCAAAGTTTGTTTTGTTTTTGTTTGTTTTTTTAAACATCTGTGTATATATATATATATATATATATATATGGATCCCTTACAAAAGCTTTGGCGCTGATGTGATACAGTGATGATATCAGACGGTAATACATGATACTGAGCAATATTATTCATATAACATTGTATGACAAGGTCAAGGTCCAAAAACATGATATAACTGTATTATTATTTGAAATTGAAAGAAGAGCCATATATTTTGGCAGCATAGCAGACGACAAAACCAGCAGGA